GGACAGAGGTCCTGCAATGCTGCCAACACCCTGTCCTTGTCTGGTCTCCAATCTGGAGATCTTGGTTCATGTCATCGTCAGGCTGATGACCTTAGTGAGAGCATCTTTCTGTGTCTGGCTCCCAGCTGTAAAGGACTGTTGTGGGTCCCTGCTGTTCACCACAAGGGGACAGGGGCAGGAAGAGGGGAAAGACAGAGAGAGGCAAGCACAGCTGCCTCCGTGACTGGGCCTGGGCTCTTTCAAGTAGAGCCCTGTCTGCTGCTCAGCCTATCATCTTGGAGACAGCTAGGAGTCTGGCATTTGAAAATCCCAGCCCAAGTCTATCAATCCCAGCCAGCCTAGACGTGCCTGTCTGCTCTTGCCATGATGTGTCCATTCCAAGGAAAGGACAAAGAGGCGTGGTCTGCTCTGTGAGCTTTTATTGCCAACACTTAGGATACTGGGCAGCTCAGCAGTACCTAAAAATGGGGAGATGGGGAGCTGTGCATTGGAGGCAGCATAGAGAGAGCTCTAGAGGACATGGCATTAGCACATGTGTACCTACTTGTCCTCTTATAGCCCTGACTCTGCAGGGAGGTTGGACTGGATCTAGCAGGAATTGACATTATTGCATTAAGTGGTAATCTAAAGATGTGTAGGGCAGTATTCATAGCTATGGTGAACATTTGTGACCCACAGCAGCAACTGGACATGCCTGGAAGAACTCACAGGCCTCTTACTTAGACCTTCAGCAGCCACATGACCACCTTAAACCACGGTCTCTTCATCTGAAGCTGGCAGGAGACTGAAATCCCAGGACTCCTTCTGGCTCTGACTCATGAACCCAGTGGGCTGTGGGTTCAGAGCCCAGCTAGGCTATGGTGCTTGCAGTCTCAAGCAGAGCTGTTCTGAGCCAAAGTTGACTTTTGTGGGTCAAGGAGGAACCCCATTTGGAGCCAAGACCTCAGCAGCCTCTCCCTCAGCCCCTCCTTTAACCATGTCTGGCACAGGACTGCAGGCTGTCCTGAGCTATGTCTCTGCTGTCAGGTGGTACTGTGAGCTTGGTGCATGTGGAAGTGGCCAGCATGGTTCTGCCACTCTGGCAGAAAACCCAGGGAGAAGCTGCCTAGGAACAGCTGTTGTCTCCCATTCCCCCACAGAACCACTTGGCTGGAGAAGAGCCCAGGTCTGTCCTGCCAAGTTGTGTGGGATGATGGGTGGAGGTGGGCCAGATGCAGGTCTTTAGTGCAGGGGCATGAGGGGGACAGGCATAGTCAAGGCACAGAGCAGGGAAGCAAAGGCCAGGCTGTTTGTGGGCATGTGGGTGGCAGAGGGGATCCAGGGTTATCCCAGGATTGGTCATGCCCTGGTGTGTGCATGCCTGCTGTTGGCATGAACCTTCTAGTTTAGCCATGTGTTTAGCTTCTTACAGAGGAAGCTGGTGTTCATCCAGGCCCCATACAGTAATATTCTCCCCAGACAGCCCTCCATGTTCAGCTCCAAAGTCAACCCTGATATAATAACCTCAGACAACCCTTAAGTTCAGCTCCTGGCTCAGGCAGCACCATCTAAAAGCCAAGCCACCACCCTCTTGTCCTGGGACATGGCAGTCCTTCCTGTACCTCTTATCCCTGCCCCCTAGTCTACTCTCCACACAGCAGCCAGAAAAAACATGATAGCATGCAGCAGACTACGTATCCCCTCTGTTTAGAGCCTTGCAGTGGCTCCCATTCCAGACAGAGTAAAACCTAAGCCTTGACATCTGCCCTGTTCCCTCTGCTCCTTGCACCCTTGTCACAAAAGCTTCCTCACTCATCCTCGGACATGCCCCCACCTCAGGGCCTTTGCACCCCATGTCCTCTGCCAGATTATCTTTCTCTAGATAGCCCACATGCTCTTATGCTTTCTCTCCTTCTAGGTTAGACTTCAAGAGCCATCCTGTTTCACTTTTTCTTTTTTCTTGAAACAGGGGTCCCCCTATGTTACCTAGGCTGCTCTTGAATTACTAGATTCAAGTGACCCAACAAAGTAGCTGGGATTATAGGTGGCTGCTACCTTACTCAGCTGGCATCACTCTGAAATTCCCACCACCAAATTCTTAGGCTTCCTATCTTCTTTCTTTTCCTCGAAATAATTGCCAGTGAACAAAGCAAATGCTTTCCATTTTTATTTTCCTTTTGTCTGCCTCCTTCCTCTAGCATCCAAGCAGGGACTTGCTTTCTCTGTCCATCCCAGTATGTGGCTCAAGGCAGGGATTTGGTTTGTCTTGTGGAATGATCTGTGGCACTGCTGTTCTGTGCCTGACATAGGAGGAGTGTAGACAGCTACAGCAGATCAGCCCCTGGTGCAACCCTAGATCAGGGCCTGGTGTCCTGAATGTCCTTCTGGGTACCCAGCAAGACCCTAGGGTTCACTAGCAGCCCTGGGCCTTTTAGTCTTTCGGCTAGCTGTCAGTAAAACTGGGGAGCCCCCAACCCAGGGTACTTCCAAATCATGTTTTTCCTCCACCATTGCACCTTCCCCGCACAGGGGTAGGAGTGTCTGGCAATACCCCTTAGCCCCAGTCTACCCCCATTAGCCAGCTGTCCCCTTCATGACACTGGTATTCAGACTCACACTCTGGGGACCCTGGAGTCAAAACCAACTGGGGCTTCCTGGGCCTTTTTGGGCATTCTGCTGCACTCACCTTCCCTCATTGCCCCCTCTGCTCCTCAGGTAAGACTCGGACCAAGGACAAGTACCGTGTAGTCTACACAGACCACCAGCGCCTGGAACTGGAAAAGGAGTTTCACTACAGCCGGTACATCACCATCCGGCGCAAGTCAGAGTTGGCTGCTAACTTGGGGCTCACAGAGCGACAGGTATGTAGATCCTTCACCCCAACTTAAGTAGCAGGGCCCAGAGTTGGGCTTTCAGGATGCCATGAAGATACATGTGAAGGGCTCACAAAAAGAGAACAGAAAGGTTGTCTCCAGACTACTGGCACTTTACCACGCACTGGACAACTGCCAACATCACTACATGCATGTGCCTGTGTATGCATGTAAGGGCGCGCGCGCGCGCACACACACACACACACACACACACACACACACACACACACAGGCTACAGTGGGCAGTAGTGTTGTTCAGTGCTATTCAGACCCAGACAAGGGGTGGTCATGAGACACAGGGGCTCTGGAGTAACCGGGCCTTGGAAGGGGGAAGAAGGTTACAGAGAAAGGTGTCTAGGGTACAAGGAGAACGTGTTTTAGTCCCTGAGGTGGGTAGCTGGAGCAGGAAGTAGACCATGAAGAGCACCTCCATCCCCTTCCCAGCTCCCTCCTAACACTTGCTTCATAAAGTCTGTGCAATCCCACAGGTGAAAATCTGGTTCCAGAACCGTCGAGCCAAGGAGCGCAAAGTGAACAAGAAGAAACAGCAGCAGCAGCAGCAGCAGGCACTGCCTCCCTCACAGCTGCCCCTACCCCTGGATGACAACCCCACATCATCAGTGCCACCCCTGGCTAGTCTATGCCCCACCAATGCTGGCCTTCTGGGCACCCCCTCCCCAGTGCCCGTCAAGGAGGAGTTTCTACCCTAAACCCTTAAGCTTGGGGTCCAGGGATCTAGGGACTTGAATGCTGGGCACCTGGCTTTGCTGAAGCCCAAGAAGCCTGTTCTAAGTTCCAGTCCTGCTGCTGACCTTTGGGGTCACTGTGGACAGATTGCCTACCTAGGACAAGTTGCTTACCAGCTTCCTACCTCCCTTGGCTGGATTATGTGATGTGCCTGTTGGACAAGGACCTCTTCCAGCTCCTGTGTCCTAGGCCATAGGGTGATGGAAAGCCTCGGTGAGAGGTTTCAGTCACCTGGAGATATCTCAAGTTCCAGAGGGCTCAACAGGCTGTCAAGAAAGGCTGAGGCTCCATAGCCTCCTCCAGGGGCTCCAGAGTGAGGTGGGAGACTGCTGTATGGACCAGACTGGCCCTGCAGAGGAGTCTGTGTTGAGAGAAGGTGGTACACATGGTCCAGACTCATGTGTGAAGTATAAGGATGATGCCAGACCCACCTGTTTCCTCCTGCAGCCTCATCTCCACTTGTCCTAGCACCCCATGTTCTGTCCCTCCCCAGCCTGGAGGGACAAAGCCATCAGAACTGGACCCGAGGTAAAGGCTGAACAATTGGTCACTGCTCTTGAAATAGAACTCGTCCCCTCCCTAGCACTCCAAGAAGGCCTGTGGATGGAAGGGAAGCCTCTCAGGGTAAACTCAGACAGAGTCTACTACCTTCCTGTCCATGCCCACCTCCTCCCCAGAGGCTGTCCATCACACCTCAGGATCCCCAAGATCTTAGGTAACTCACATCTGGACAGGGGTTACATAGAGTGGAATCTCTTGAATGCAGGTTCAGGAATATGTTTTTCCCTTTTAAACAAATTATAAAAATCACACATAGCATTAAAAGAATTTTTAAAAAGTTTCATCACCATCATCCTTTATTCATGATTGCGGGTTTCCTTTGCGTTCTCTAGTTCCCCCAACAAAGTCACCTTTAAAACATGGCCGATTGGCTCAGAGGTTAAAAGCACCGACTGCTCTTCCAGAGGACCTGAGTTCAATTCCCAGCAACCACAGGGTGGCTCACAAATATCTGTTATGAGATCTGGTACCCTCTTCTGGTGTGCAGATATACATGGGAGCAGAATGTTGTATGCATAATACATAAATAAATAAAATAAAAAAAAACATGGTTGATCAAACAGGACCCTGCTAAGGCAGGTCTAAGGCTGAAGGAACACCAGTCTTTGGGTGATCACTCCAGAATCTATCCATCAGCCTTGTGGGTCCTCCTGGAGCTTTCACTTCAGGCTTTTCTTTTAGCGTTGTCATTCACACTGCACGCTATGTACCAGACATGGCAATGCCTGGGAAGCACACAGCCCTTTCCCCCAAGAAGTGCCTGGCCCAGTGGGAAGAGTGCCACACACACAGTGTTGTTAATATAAAAAGATAAGGGCCAGTCAGAACTTTGTTCCGGACATGGCAAGAACTAGTGCACGTGTGGAGATGGAATGCAGAGCAGGCTCCCTGCTCATCGGAAGCCTAGAAGGCGTCCTGGAGAAGGTGGTACCTGAACTGAGACCTGATGTGATGGTCAGGTCCAGAAGAGAAGAACAGCTGCAACGGGAACATAGAGTGTTTCTTAAGCTTCTGCAGAGAGATGCTGTTCTTACCTTCTTCCCAGAGGTGGGCAGAAGTGAGCTACCTAGGACTTTCTCTGCCCAGAGGGCTCTGGTGCCAGCTGCTTGCCCCTCTGTTTACTGTTCTGGGAGGTTAATAGGTCATAAAAAGTGTGTTCAGCCAGCCTGCCTTTGCCCTTTGCTCCTGGGCCTGGGATAACACTGCACAGGTGTTTCCAGCCCCAGCACACTAGCCTCTTCTCTCCTCCTGCCGTCCACTGGGGAGACAGCAAGGCCTCTCTGTTGCAGTTGACATCCGAGCCACAGGAACTAAGTGGCACCAGAAGAATGAAGTAGGGAGAGGCTGGTAGCTGGCAGCGAGTTTAGCTTTCTAATCTGCATGGCCCTAGGGTAACTACTTCCCCTCTCTGAGCCTCCATTTCCTGCTCCAGTCCAGTTGTTTGGGGTGTAAATGGAATTTATGCAGCAAATGTTTTTACTTGCTGAGCCCTTTCACTGGCCAGGCAGACCTGAACCTCACCATGTAGTCTACCCTGGCCTTGAATGTGTGGTGATTCTCATACCTTACCTTCCAATGCTGGGGTTGCAAATGTGAACTAATGCTCTGCCAATGTTCCTCATGCCTCAAACCCAGGAAACCAACTGCAGCACCTGAAATCACCCCCCCCCCCCCCCC